TGAGTTTTGGAGATTTTACAACAAGTTGAAGATGGAAGACCAAGCTGTGCATTTTTGCCATATTTTACTGTTTTACTTCCATAAAGGGAAGAATGTGCATCAAGCTTGTGAAAAGTTGCATAAAGTTTATGGTGACAATGCTCTACAACAGCGGTTCTCAACCTGTGGGTCACAACCCCTTTGGGGGTCAAATGACCCTTTCACAGGGGTCGCTGGGTACTCGTATGTGGGCATATCTGCATGTGGGCCTGGAGATGGATAGAGGAGCGGTGTCTCAGTTCCTAAGACCATTGTAAATATGTGTTTTCCGATGGTCCTAGGCGACCCCTGTAAAAGGTTGAGAACCTCTGCTCTACAAGAACGTCAGTGCCAACTATGGTTCACAAAATTCCATGCTGGTGATTTTGATCTCAACGACGCTCCTCAGTCAGGGAGGCCCACCGAGATTGATGACGACAAAATAAAGGCATTGATTGAGTCAAATCCATGTTACATGACACGAGAGATTGCAGAAACATTGAACATCCATCATTTAAGCATTCACAACCACCTGAAGAAGATGGGATACATGTAAGCAAGCTCGATATTTGGGTTCCGCATGAACTCAAAAAAGTTCATTTGACGGCACATATAAACATCTGCAATATGCTCATTAAACATGAGGGAAATGATCCCTTTTTTTAAGATTTTATTGGGGAATTGAGGGAGGGGAACAGCTCTGGGGAATCGGCGGAAGGGGAACAGACAAGTTGCTGTCCTTTTTGTTCTTCAGTCTAGATGTGGAGGATGTCGCTTCACTGGCCCACGTTGGTATTATCATTATGCTCTTCCTGGGTGAGGCAGATCGGTCACCGGCCTCTGGATGGCTGCTCACAGCGGCTCTTGGCAGCTCACACTGGCTGCCGGCCCGCTCACGCTGGCTGCTGGCCACACACAGTCGCTTATGGCAGCCCACTGCAGCAGGGGCTGCAGCCTACTCCATCTCCGGCCACTCACCACAGCCCCACTCCAAGTTGAGCTGTTGTTCACCATCTTAGCTGTAGAGGGCAGTGTCACTGGCCCTCATGTGGGATCCAAACCGGGGCCCTAATGCTCAGAGCTAGCATCCCAAGCCAGCTCTTAACCAACGTGCCACTCGGCCGGCTGAAAACGATCCTTTTTTAAAGCGACTGACAACCGGTCATGAGAAGTGGATTGTTTACAACAATGTGGTGCACAAACAGTCTTGGTCCTGACGTGATGATTTATTTCAAAAGACATCCAAAGTAGACACTCATCAGAGGAAGGTTATGCTCTCAGTGTGGTGGAATTTTAAAGTGTCGTGTTTTTTAAGCTCCTGCCAAGGAACCAAACAATGAATTTGAATGTGTACTGTCAGCAAACTGGACAGTTTGAATGAATCCATCATCCAGAAACGTCCAGAGTTCATTAATCATACAGGAGTTGTGTTCCATCACGATAACGTGAGACCACACACAAGTTTGATCAACCGTCAAAAATTATTGGAGCTTGGATGGGATGTGTTGCCACACCCACCATACTCATCTGACCTTGTGCTGTCAGACTTCTACTTGTTTCACTGTCTTCACAACTTCTTGTGTGGTATAACATTCAATTCAGATGAGGCTGTAAATCAGCACCTTGTTCAGTTTTTCACAAATAAAGACAGGTTCTTCTATGAATGAGGAGTTATGAAGCTCACTGAAAGATGGCAAAAGGTTATTGAACAAAACAGGCAATATATCACTGATTGATTTTTGTTCTTTATATAAATAAATGACCTTTGAAAAACATAGACAAAATACATCATGACTTTTCCGACAACCCAGTAATCTCCATGAGGCCTTGTCTACAAGGCCTGTAAAAGAGTTATTCAATAACTGCTAACACTTCCATGAATGCATCCTCTGAGCAAAATGAGGACATTCTTGTATTCTAGTCATCCTATTGCTTTTCTCCCCCAAATGCTGTTTAAATATATTAAATATGTCTTTCATTAATGAGAATGTATCTGATTTTACATGTCCTCAAAGTACTTTCTGGGAAGGAAGGAATAAAATACGTAATGAAGTAATTAAGTATCTAAATTGTGATTGCAACAATGAACTCCAATTCAGTTCTCTCAATAGTGTCAGTATTATCTTATATTCAATTTACAAAAAAAGTGAGTCATATAATAAAAAATTAAAAGAAATAAGAAAACTCCTCAAGGCATGTCATATTGATACTATTAGTCCAAATATGTTGGTTTGCATTATAAGCAAAATCTTAATAATATAGTGTCCGAGTGAATATTTTAAAGAAGTTATATGGACAACACAGTGATGAGCTTAGCAAAATATTAGTTGTAAATTATTTGCTTCCAGTGACCCCTGAAAAGGGCTTATTTTTGTGGTCTGAATATATAAAGCTTAGAAATGCTAATCATCCTACCTGTAAACTATAATTGTAAAGTGCTAGATTAATGAATATTTCCAGTTAGGTCTTACATACAGAATAGTAAAGGTGTTGTGAATGTTTTGACAAGTGATTAGAATTTTTTTTAACATTTTCAGTACTGAGATTGAAGAAAATCAGACATGATGCAGTATAATTTAGCAAGACACTAATCTTTATTAAACAGAAAATGCAGTTAAATTAATTACATAATGTTACTAATTGCAAAAATATACATTTTTTCGACAAGTTTAGAATCTTAAAAATAAAGCAATACTTCAATTTGTTGATCTTGTTTGCCTTGAAACACACACTTTTTTCCCTTTTTTTTTTTTTTTTTAGGTGAGCCATCCTGCTACCTGTTGGCAGCTCAGCGGCTGCTCAGCTCGGGCTGGACTCGAACTGCTGTTGCTCAGAGCTCAAACTCTTGAGCGAGCTCTTAACCAACTGAGCCACTCGGCTGGCCCTGAAACACACACTTTTAAATTGCTAGGCTTTCTACCTGCACAGGATTTGTAAACACTGTAATATGGGGACATTGTATAGGGATTTTTTTACTTTTTTGTAACAATATGAGGTAATCCTCATTATTGTATTAGTCAACCTAGTGATTGTTAAGGTTTCATGTAGAGTTACCATCAACTTATTAAATGAGTGCAGTGGAAAACATTTGGAATTCAAAACCTTTCAAAATTTTGATAACTGCTTAGAACCCCAAATGGAACTATCATTTCTACCCCCCATCCCCTTAACTACAATTATATATGTATTTGGAAACATAAAGAATAAATCTTACTGTGCTTTATTTATTTATTTATTATTTATTATTTATTATAGTGTTTCATGCATATAATAAGTTTGGGGCCTGAAGAGTGACAAGAATTACCTGGTTCCTCCCCTTAAAGATCTCACAATCTAGTAGAGAAAAAAAGAAAAGATAATAAATTATAATTGTGATGAGTGCAAGTGAGAAGGAAAAGGTTGCCTCATACCATGCAATGTTATAATTGGCGATGACCAACTTGTTTTGGTAAGTAAGCAGAAAAAAGGAAGAAAAAGGGAATAGCTTGGAATGAGGGACTGCCTTAGGCAGGAAGCAGTGTGACCCTCCAGGAGCTTGAAAGAAAGCCCTGTACTTAGGACATAGAGATCTGAGGAAGGAAATTTGGAGTGGAGTTTATTTCCTTTCTCTGTTTCAGTCAATAACCTGGTAAGACTCTATAACCTTCCCTTTAGTACTGTACCCCCTACTCCAAAATATTTCTGCATAAATCCAGACGACATGATTTTTCTCAGGCTCATTGTCATTATGATAATATACAGTAATATATCATACATAGTAATAACACACATTGGGAGGATATACAGGACCTCCTTAGGCAGCTCCTTGGTCTTGCCTTCGTGTCCTGCTCCCCATCTGGCTAGCTGTGAACCCCTCCCCAGGCCTCCCTGGCACCCACTCCTCTCTAGCCACACTGACCCCTTGGTACACAGTCAGGGTCTCCACATTTGCGGCTGGCTCTGCCATCAGTGTTCTTCTCCTCGACCTTCACAGGCTTCACTCCTTCCCTTCATTCATCTCTGCTCAAATGTCTCCTAAACAGTCTAACTCAGACCCTTCTTCATCTCTCTATCCACCTGCTTTCTTTTTCTTTATAGCACTTGACACACCCAAACATGTTTTATCTTGATTTATCCATTTACTGCCAATCATCTTTCAGGATGTACTTTGTGAAAGCAGGAATCAGTTTGTTCCAGCACTTAGAACAATGTCCAGCCCATAACACGTGCTCAGTGATGTTGTCTGAATGAATAAGTAAATGATTTGCCTAGCAAACCCTTGGTCTAGTACTCATTAGCTGAGAGGCAGAGTGACACAGATGTTAGGAGTTCAGTCTCAAGTTAGACTGCCTTGGTTTAAGTTGTACCCTGATACTTTTTAGCAAGGACTTTGGGTAAATCATCAAAATATTTTTCCTCAGTTTCTTCACTTATAAATTAGGAATTGCAGTAACAGTATCTACCTCAAGGTTTTTCTGTTTGTTTGTTTGTTTTTTTACGATTGGATGCGCTCACCTATGTAAAGTGCCTGGCACAGAAGCACAGTTTGAGTGTTTTTATTCTCTATTTCCATTCCTTCACCACACACACTCCCACACATGCATGACCCTCCAAGCTTACTCCCTACTACACTCTAACATGACTGTAACACAGTCAGTTTGGTATTCTTCACATAGCAGGTGAGCTCATCAAGTGACTTTGTATGAATTAGAAAAGGTAGCTGTTCTAGGTGAGGAAAAGGTATCCCTTCTTCTAGACTGATGCAGCTTCACCCTCGGGCACAGGAAGGATTTTGGCCCCCATTCCTTCGAGCAAGTGCCTTTACGGAGGATAAAAATGATACAACTTTACCCTGCCCTTGTAATTTACCCTGCCCTCCCAATCATTGCCCTCTAACTTCTCCCCAAAGGGAGGCATCATCTAATTCAAACAAGCCTTAGCAAATGCCTGCCAGTATAAACAATGCCCAAATCTCAGTGACTTAGAAAAATTACACATTGTACCTTCCTTCTTCTATATGTTCATCCCAAGGTAGCAGAGAGACTGTGCTGAATTTGGTTTTCCAGCTCCAGACTCAGCAAGCAGCACCATGAAATCAGAGGGAACAGAGCACTCTGGCCACTCCCAGCAGCACTAAATGCTCTGGGTGAACATGGCCCATATCACGTCCTCGCACGCCTCACTGGTCAAAACTGGTAACAAAACATCACAGAAAAGTAAAACATTACATCCCTCTCATGAGCCTGGATTGTGGAGAAACAAAAATATTTGGCTAACATTACTATTTAGTAACTGCCATAGAGACAAAGCCCACGTGAAAGCCTGCCCTTCCCTAGGACTGCTCCATATCTGTACCAGGAATAAACAGCACTACTAAGTCATTTCCTTGGCTATTCTCTCCCATTTGTTTTCATGTTCCAAACTAGACTTCGTGTGTTATGTGCCGTTGAATTGTCTCCGACTCCTGTGACTCCGAATGAGTGATTTGTACCATATTTTGTGCTCAGCAGCTCGGCTCAGCTCCTGTACACACACGCCTGTGGCCCCTTTTATGGGGTAATCCACCTAATATTTGTTTTTCTTCTTTTCCTGTTGTCTTTTATTTTTCCAAAGAACCTGACTTGTCCTGATGTACCCAAAGTGGGACAGCTTCAGTGTTGTTACTTCTGCCTCAGTGATGTTTCAGGCTTCATTTTTTCCAGGGTCCATTTGTTCTTCTTTCTAGTGATCCAGGGTATCTGTCCAGCTTTCTGACAACACCATATTTCAAATGAAATGAACTAGACTTTACATTTATTGAAAACAGTAACTGAACTTTCATGGGCACTCTCATAGATAGTATAGTGTCATATGCATAGAACACTTAATAATAAATAACAAGATAACAATAGTGTGTATATACCAGGGGTGCAAAAAAAAAATGTACACAAGTGGACACATTGGTTAACATTGCTCAAGCAGTAGTTCGCCATAATCAGAAGTGTCTGGACACTGATGGTAACCACTTTGAGCACCTCTTGTAATTGTGGAAGGCAAATACAATGTGACTTGTATACATCTTTTGTTATCGGTATGTATTGAGTATTACAATTAATACAGTTTTTTCCTGTCTTAAAATGTGTATACTTTTTTTTGGCACCCCTAGTATATGGCAGTGAATTCACGTTCCAGCCTGAAGTTTGATAGTAAGCATATTATTCAGGGTTCTCCAGAAGAATAGAACCAAAGAAGGGTCCCATCTCTAGCAAAAAAGAACAAATTTGCCCGTCCTCCACTTTTTTGCTCTATTTCATCCCTCCGACTATAGCTTCTCACATAGTTATATCCTCCCCTGCCTTCGTCCCTGACTGCACAATCACCACTTAAAAACTACTGTCTCATAGTTAAGTTCTACATCATCCTCATATCTGTTTCCCTTTAAAATAAGTTGTTTATCCCCATACCACCATTTCCTCTGCTTTGTGGTCACTTGAAACCATGCCAATCAAGATTTTACTCCTACCACTCCACCAAGGCATCACTTATCAAAGTCACAAATAACATGCACATTCTAAATCCAATGAACAACATTGGTTCTCTTTTTTCTTTTTTTTTAAGATTTTATTGGGGAATTGGGGCAGGGGAACAGACAAGTTGCTGTCCTTTCGTTCTTCAGTCTAGTTGTGGAGGACGTTGCTTCACTGGCCCATGTTGGTGTTATCATTGCTCTCTTCCCGGGTGAAGCAGTCGCTGGCTGGCCATTGGATGGCCGCTTACAGTGGCTCATGGCAGCTCACAAAAGCTCATGCCCGCTGCTGGCCAGCCCCACTGCGGCCTACACCATCGCCGGAGACTCACGGCAGCCCAGCTCCAGGTCGAGCTGTTGTTCCCCATCTTCACTGTAGAGGGCACAGTGTCATTGGCCCTCATGTGGGATCTGAACCAGGGTCCAGCTGCTCAGAGCTGGCGTCCCAAACCAACTCCTAACCAATGCGCCACTCGACCGGCCCTGGTTCTCATTTTAATTGATCTGTTAGTAGCCTTTGATGCTGTCAATCACTTCCTACTTCTTGAAGTATTTCTTCACTCCCAGGACAACTCTCTCTCAGTTCTCTTCCAAACACCTACTCTTTTGCATTTTCATGGCACAAAATTACTAAATATAAAATTACCATATGATCTGATATATACCCAGAAAAACTGAAAGCAAAACTCAAATATTTATACACCTATGTTCATAGCAACATTATTCACAATAGCCTTTCGATGGAGCAACACAAGTGTCCATTGATGGGTAAATGGCTAACCAAAATGTGGGATATACACACAATGGAATATTAGTCAGTCTTAAAAAGGAAGGGCATTCTGACCATGCTATGACATGGGTGAACCTTGAGGACATTTTGCTCAGTGAAATAAGCCAGTCACAAAAGAACAATTATTGCATGATTCCACTTACATTAAGTACCTAGAGCAGTCAAATTCATAGAGACAGAAAATAGAAGAGTGGCTACCAGGGGTTGTGGAGGGTAGGCGATGAGGAGTTAGTGTTTACAGGGTATAGGGTTTCTGTGGGGGAGGATGAAAACATTCTGGAGATGGTGGTGGTGATTGTTTCACAACAACATGAATGTACTTAATTCCACAGAAAATGGACTTAAAAATGGTTAAAATGGTAAATTTTATGTGTATATTTACTATAGTAAAAAAAGAACATGTTGTATTTTGAATATATTTTAAAGCTAGAGCCCCAAATCTAAAAGATTTTATGTGGCTGTGAAAAAAAGAGATTTGGGGCTTAGTCCAATAAAATAAATGGCAGGACTGTAGGAGTTGGAAATCTGGGGAGAAAATCAGAAGTTTGGTTAAGATTGTGATAGTGAAGTGAAACAGGCAATTAGATTATTGTAATTGACTGACTGTAACTGATTTTTCCACTTCTGCCCTTGCTTTAAAGTCTAATCTCAACACAGCAAAAAGGTAATCCTTATACATTTAACTGTGAGTGTTTACACCTCCACTGAAAATCTCCCCTCGGTCCCCACCTCAGTCAGAGTAGATGCAAAGGTTTTACTTTGGTCTGCAGGGCTCAGTGTGACCTGTCTCCCTGAGACCTCTGACTCTTCTTCACATAACTTGCTGCACTCCAGCTGCACTTGAACTCCTCACTCTTTACAGATTACCCCAGCTAACCTCGTGCCTCAGGTCTTTCACAATCCATTGAGATTTTGCTTCCCGGAAATTGTCATCAGTTTGGCTTAAGTGAACTCTTATAAGTTTTCTCTTAGGCTGGATGTTTTTCATCGACACCTTGTATTTTTTTTTCCTTTTGGCTTATAATTTTATCTAGTGAATTTTTTTTGTTTAAGAAACTGAGTTAGTTGTCTATAGAGTTTCCCATGGTCTGTCTTACACTGACTATACCCTTATGGTAAGAGTGTCTTCTGTCCTCTGTATTTCCTATATGTTGTTGTTGAATGTCAAAACTTTATCAGATTCAGGTATATTCTTTTTTACCCACATTTTAATGCTTTCTCTATATAGTCATGTATCATTAAATAGCTTATCTTATAGTGACATAATAGCATATTTATGTTATAAGTGGTATCATATTTATGTCTGATATTAAAATTCACTTTCCCTACTCAAATTTTTTTCTCATTTATTAAAAGTTTTGTCTATTTAATTCATTTTAACAGGTGTATAATATCCCATAATATCAATATGCCATGACATATTTGTTTTCTATTTAATTAATGCTGTCATATTTTGTGTATACATGCATACACCCAGATATAGAATGCTTCAGTCCTACAGGAGGCACATTTTAAACTTTACCAGCTCTTGCCAAATTGCACTCCAGAGCCCTGGTACAAATTCAAACTCCCACCAGCATTGTTCTCCCAAATCTACACCATTATTTGGTTGACATTGTTAGATCTACAATTTTTGCCAATATGATATTTATAAAATGTTTTCTTATTTTTGTTTTCCTTTGCATTTCTCTACTAATGAGATTGAACACCTTGATGTTTGCTGGCAGTTCAGTGTTCTTCTGTGAGTGACCTGTTCATATTGTTTAACCATTTTTGTCTATTTAAAATTTTTTAAATTAATTTATAGGAGCGTTTCATTTATTCTGCCGAACAATCTTGGTGAGCTATTGCACTGAAAATGTCTTCTCCTAGACTTTAATTTGTTTTCCCACTGTGGTGATGTTGCTTTTTATCAAACCATGTTATTTCTCCCTTAAATTCTGTACTTTCGTAGCTTGTTTAAAAAACCCTTACCTCCCCTACACTCATAGAAATAGTCTCTTATATTTTTCTTAAAGATTTTAGACAATTCTAATTTTTCCTATGGTGTGACATATGAATCTTCTTTTAATTTTTTTCCACATAGATAAATTGTCCCCAAACTAATCATCGGACAGTCTTTCCTTTCCCCTCCACTGATTCATAGTGCCACCTCTGTGGTTTACCAGTTTCCCGTATAATAGTGAGTTGATGTCTGGAATCTCTATTCTGTTCCTTTCATGTAATTGTCTATCTTTATATGCAGGCACTTTTCACAATTTGGGATGAAGAATTCATAAAGAAAGAATTTTTAACCAAGACGACTCAGCCAGACATTAATGGTCCTCTCAGAGCAGATTTGTCTCTTTCCCACCTTCTACCAATAAATTATTCCCCTTTTAAGAGATTACTTTATCCATTTGTATATCCTAGTGTACTTGCCAAAATCCTAGAATCGCTGCAAGCAAACACATTGTATATTCCCTCTGTCTTGGACAAATTCCCTGCCTAACATTGTTTCCCCTCCCCCGCTCCTGGCCTAGTCGGTTCCCCTTACATATTCATGGCTCATATGAGCCCTACACATGTCACAGTTCACCAACTTCCCCGGATTATTCACTTGGTTTTCTTTCCCCATGAACATTTTTTTCCTGTTGTCTGTGAACTCTGAAATACGTGTCACGACTGAAGAAACGATGAACATATCATCACAAATCTGGAAGTGTTTATTGAAGGGCATATTTGATAAACACTAAACATTTGTGGTTCAAAATTATACCTCAGGCAAAGAGTGAAAGCAAATTTACCTATATAATTGAAATCCAAAAAAATCTAGCAGAAATGA